TAGATCGAAGAAAAGTTCTGAGGTTGCTAAAGCATTTAGGAAAATATATGGAAATCAAAATAATCCATTGACATGGCCAAAGCTTCTGCAATGTGATGGGGGTCGTGAATTTATGGGCAAGACTTCCCGTCTAATGCAAGAGCATAATGTTATAATACGAGTGGTCGGCCCATATAGTCACAGAAGAGTTGCACTTGTAGAGCGTTTCAATAAGACTCTCTCAAAAATTCTATATAATATCCAGTATGCTGTTGAATCAATATCTTCCGATCCTAAATTAATAAGAGCATGGGTTAGGTATTTGCCAGAAGCTATTGATTATCTGAATAACTATCCCACACGCCTTATTCGAGAACCAGGATCAAAAAAGTGGGGGCTCGAGCCAGTGAAAGCCATTGCTTTAGAGCGAGTCGAATCTAGACCATCCACAAAATATAAGCGCCCTGTTGGAAAAGATGAAATAAAATTAAAGAAAGAAGATTCTGTCCGCTATCTTCTTGCCAATGCGGAATGGGAAGGAGGTATGGAAAATCAGAAGCGTGCAACTGACCCTACATACTCGCCTTCTATTCATAAAATTCAAAAAGTTGTTGTTATAAAGAATGAGCCAGTTTTATATTATCTCGATGGGGAATATGCTCCATCACGCGGGTTTGTGCGAGAAGAACTTATATTAATTCCCGATCCAGAAAAAGTTGGGTACCCACCCCAAAGCATATTATCTGTACATGTTGCATGTGTTATTAATAGAGAGACAAATCAGGCTATCGATTATGCTAGAAGACGCGGTGGTCGATGTCTAGGAAAGACTGGGCGAATAAATGGTCATAACATATATCTTTGGTCTTGTGAGAATGGTACACATCAGTGGGAGTATCCACTAAAATATATCATGAAAAAATTTGATTGGTGTCCTCTTTGCCATCACACTACCGAAAGAGCTGTACGATATATTTTCGAGGATCTGCTAGGCAAAAAATTCCCATCACGCAGGCCGAATTTTTTGGATGGAATGCAACTCGATGGATATAATGAGGAACTATGTCTTGCATTCGAATACCAGGGTCCTCAGCACTATCATCACAATAGTCTATATCATCGAGAGAATGAAACTTTGGAAATACAAAAGATACGTGATCAGAAGAAGTGGGATATATGCAAGAACCAAGGTATATGCCTTATCGAAGTGCCGTATACATGTGACCTTTTTCCATTTATTAGACATACACTAATCGAGAAAGGATTTTTAGATGAAGTGAAGCAAAACTCTTGAAATTTCTCATTTTGATGTGCTTTGTATATCGTACTATATGGAATTCTTTGTGTATAACGTTGACGAGATCCCCAGAAAATCTTTGGAGCGTCTGAAAGGCAATAAATATTCTCCAGACTGGCCTTTTCGTATAGTAGTTACTGGGGGTTCAAATAGCGGAAAAACTAATATGGTTATTAACCTTATTCTAGGCAATAAACTTCAGCGCATGTTTAAAGGCAAGAAAGGAGATAGATATATTAAAAATGATGATCTCATTTTAGTTGGAAAACATGCTGAGAAGAAATGGAAGCTGGTAAAAAATGCTATCCATATTTTTGCTAATAACCCTAAGCCATATCGAGAGGATGTCACATTCAAAAGAATAACACCTGATAAGATCCCTGATATAACTAAATTTTTTCCAGATCGAAGTACGGTTGTTGTATTCGAAGATCTGTGTGCTGAATCAAAAAAAATACAAGAACGCATTATTCCTTACTTCATTAGTGGACGGCATCAAAACATCTCGCCAATATACGTAACTCAGAAATATCAGGCTGTACCAAAGATAATTCGTGAAAATATTTCTCATCTAGTCATGTTCCGAGGGAGTGGAAGTCGGGATGATATTCATAGAATCGTGCGTCAATATACGGATAATCTGAAAAAGGCATCCAAGATTATTGACAAGCATCTGCGAGATCGAAATTTCATAGTTTTTGATTTTACTAAGGCAGTAGACGATCCATTAGCAATTAGACTAGGTTGGGATGCGCCTCTGACATTGAATGAGTAGAATCCGACTTCATGGATGCCAGCTCTTTTTCTGCCTCCTGCACTTGCAACTTCAGATCCTCAACTTCACATCGTAATCTTTTATTTGCAGTAATCCGCTCTCTATATTCCTTTTCTATATCTAGTATAAATTTCTCAAAAGTTCGTCTATTATAATCAAGCAGATGTTAGGTCAATACTTTAAGTTCATTCACCACCCGGCGATTATTCTCTTCCTCATGATCATGAGTAATATTGTTAGTCTGAGTATCACTATCTGAGACAAAAATAACCGGTAATGCTAGGGATACATTGCATTCTGGCCAGCTTTGAGGGCGTAATTTCTTCTGATCCATAGATTTGTTCTGTCGTTTTCTATTTAATGAATTATTATAAATTTCTAATGTATGCCTCAAGTATGATTCAATTCGCTCAGACTTCTCAGAAATAGATTCTAATGGAATAGGATCTTTAGAATGGTGTAAGAGTCTCTGGCAAGCTCTCTTGATAAGACTTTCAGGTAGTCTATCAATAATATGTTTATAGTCAGAATAGAATATTTTATTAGATATATGTTTGCGCAAAAAAAGTTTGCATAGAAGAAATTCACTCCTGGCATAGGACATAACATTAAAAATAAATTTACGCGTCAATGTTGCGAGAGATCTGCTAGAAAACTCCGATCAAAAATGCACATGATACCTGATCATTGGTCAATAAGAAAAAATCATTTTGGCAGGGGTATCCCAGCACTGAAGAAATTTTGGAACACTTCGGAAAATTCAGAAAAAAAAAATACAGAGAATATGTAAAAATAATCGTCCACCAGGGCACTTTATTGATATAGGAAAAATAAAATACAAATATGATATATTAGCATAGCTAATCTAAAGAAAAATTCGCACTATTTTTTCTTGCTTAATCTTCCAGCTTCACGTGGAGGAGGATTTACATCACTCGTCTTTCTTGATCTTTTTTGAAAACTATTTACAATACTCTGTAAATTTACGATAACCCCATTCTGGAATTAGAGATTTTTGTATCAGTATCGCTATATAATTAAGCATATATTTAGAAATAAGGAAAACACTTACTCGCAAAACTAATAGAGCATGAACGAACTCTTCAACTTCCTCAACTGACTCTTTACCAAGGGGTATTTTTGCTTTAATGACTGGAAGATGGTATTTTATCCCCTTTTCCTTTATTAAATCATGAATCTCAAGATACTTACCTGCAATATTAATACCGAATCCTATATAATTTTGATAGAAGGTTTCTTTCGTGCATTTCTTTACAAGTTCTTTAAACCCATCCAAACAAAGTTGCACTAATTTATTATGGTCGTGACAGATTTTATCTTCATCAGCATTCCATTTCCCGCTTTCAAAGAAAACGATTTCTTTCCACTTTTGGCGAAGGTAAGCACGAAACATAAGAAACTTAAGCAAAGATGCGGGAGTAAAGAAAATATGCAACGATTTTTTATCAAAAGGAATGAAGTCCATAAATTACGGAAATTTGTGTTGCCTTCAAGAGATATAGTAACGCATGATCAATGGATTGAAGATGATCATATTAAGGAACGCGTAGCTAGTGAAATTACTGATATCCTTTTACAGGAGATTAGGCTGAACGCACTTCGAAGAGTTTCTGAGGGATCTGAGAATACACTAGTAGAAATTATAGCTCGTTTAATAGACATGGCTATGTATCATTTACCTGTAGATTATGAGGTTGAAGTTACTAGGGCTGAACGTTAAAGTAAAGCCAGTAAAAGTCGCAAAGTTCAGCAAAAAAGTGGATCAAGAGGAGATAAACCAGATCTTATGTTTCGTGCTTACCTTCGCCAAAAGTGGAAAGAAATCGTTTTCTTTGAAAGCGGGAAATGGAATGCTGATGAAGATAAAATCTGTCACGACCATAATAAATTAGTGCAACTTTGTTTGGATGGGTTTAAAGAACTTGTAAAGAAATGCACGAAAGAAACCTTCTATCAAAATTATATAGGATTCGGTATTAATATTGCAGGTAAGTATCTTGAGATTCATGATTTAATAAAGGAAAAGGGGATAAAATACCATCTTCCAGTCATTAAAGCAAAAATACCCCTTGGTAAAGAGTCAGTTGAGGAAGTTGAAGAGTTCGTTCATGCTCTATTAGTTTTGCGAGTAAGTGTTTTCCTTATTTCTAAATATATGCTTAATTATATAGCGATACTGATACAAAAATCTCTAATTCCAGAATGGGGTTATCGTAAATTTACAGAGTATTGTAAATAGTTTTCAAAAAAGATCAAGAAAGACGAGTGATGTAAATCCTCCTCCACGTGAAGCTGGAAGATTAAGCAAGAAAAAATAGTGCGAATTTTTCTTTAGATTAGCTATGCTAATATATCATATTTGTATTTTATTTTTCCTATATCAATAAAGTGCCCTGGTGGACGATTATTTTTACATATTCTCTGTATTTTTTTTTTCTGAATTTTCCGAAGTGTTCCAAAATTTCTTCAGTGCTGGGATACCCCTGCCAAAATGATTTTTTCTTATTGACCAATGATCAGGTATCATGTGCATTTTTGATCGGAGTTTTCTAGCAGATCTCTCGCAACATTGACGCGTAAATTTATTTTTAATGTTATGTCCTATGCCAGGAGTGAATTTCTTCTATGCAAACTTTTTTTGCGCAAACATATATCTAATAAAATATTCTATTCTGACTATAAACATATTATTGATAGACTACCTGAAAGTCTTATCAAGAGAGCTTGCCAGAGACTCTTACACCATTCTAAAGATCCTATTCCATTAGAATCTATTTCTGAGAAGTCTGAGCGAATTGAATCATACTTGAGGCATACATTAGAAATTTATAATAATTCATTAAATAGAAAACGACAGAACAAATCTATGGATCAGAAGAAATTACGCCCTCAAAGCTGGCCAGAATGCAATGTATCCCTAGCATTACCGGTTATTTTTGTCTCAGATAGTGATACTCAGACTAACAATATTACTCATGATCATGAGGAAGAGAATAATCGCCGGGTGGTGAATGAACTTAAAGTATTGACCTAACATCTGCTTGATTATAATAGACGAACTTTTGAGAAATTTATACTAGATATAGAAAAGGAATATAGAGAGCGGATTACTGCAAATAAAAGATTACGATGTGAAGTTGAGGATCTGAAGTTGCAAGTGCAGGAGGCAGAAAAAGAGCTGGCATCCATGAAGTCGGATTCTACTCATTCAATGTCAGAGGCGCATCCCAACCTAGTCTAATTGCTAATGGATCGTCTACTGCCTTAGTAAAATCAAAAACTATGAAATTTCGATCTCGCAGATGCTTGTCAATAATCTTGGATGCCTTTTTCAGATTATCCGTATATTGACGCACGATTCTATGAATATCATCCCGACTTCCACTCCCTCGGAACATGACTAGATGAGAAATATTTTCACGAATTATCTTTGGTACAGCCTGATATTTCTGAGTTACGTATATTGGCGAGATGTTTTGATGCCGTCCACTAATGAAGTAAGGAATAATGCGTTCTTGTATTTTTTTTGATTCAGCACACAGATCTTCGAATACAACAACCGTACTTCGATCTGGAAAAAATTTAGTTATATCAGGGATCTTATCAGGTGTTATTCTTTTGAATGTGACATCCTCTCGATATGGCTTAGGGTTATTAGCAAAAATATGGATAGCATTTTTTACCAGCTTCCATTTCTTCTCAGCATGTTTTCCAACTAAAATGAGATCATCATTTTTAATATATCTATCTCCTTTCTTGCCTTTAAACATGCGCTGAAGTTTATTGCCTAGAATAAGGTTAATAACCATATTAGTTTTTCCGCTATTTGAACCCCCAGTAACTACTATACGAAAAGGCCAGTCTGGAGAATATTTATTGCCTTTCAGACGCTCCAAAGATTTTCTGGGGATCTCGTCAACGTTATACACAAAGAATTCCATATAGTACGATATACAAAGCACATCAAAATGAGAAATTTCAAGAGTTTTGCTTCACTTCATCTAAAAATCCTTTCTCGATTAGTGTATGTCTAATAAATGGAAAAAGGTCACATGTATACGGCACTTCGATAAGGCATATACCTTGGTTCTTGCATATATCCCACTTCTTCTGATCACGTATCTTTTGTATTTCCAAAGTTTCATTCTCTCGATGATATAGACTATTGTGATGATAGTGCTGAGGACCCTGGTATTCGAATGCAAGACATAGTTCCTCATTATATCCATCGAGTTGCATTCCATCCAAAAAATTCGGCCTGCGTGATGGGAATTTTTTGCCTAGCAGATCCTCGAAAATATATCGTACAGCTCTTTCGGTAGTGTGATGGCAAAGAGGACACCAATCAAATTTTTTCATGATATATTTTAGTGGATACTCCCACTGATGTGTACCATTCTCACAAGACCAAAGATATATGTTATGACCATTTATTCGCCCAGTCTTTCCTAGACATCGACCACCGCGTCTTCTAGCATAATCGATAGCCTGATTTGTCTCTCTATTAATAACACATGCAACATGTACAGATAATATGCTTTGGGGTGGGTACCCAACTTTTTCTGGATCGGGAATTAATATAAGTTCTTCTCGCACAAACCCGCGTGATGGAGCATATTCCCCATCGAGATAATATAAAACTGGCTCATTCTTTATAACAACAACTTTTTGAATTTTATGAATAGAAGGCGAGTATGTAGGGTCAGTTGCACGCTTCTGATTTTCCATACCTCCTTCCCATTCCGCATTGGCAAGAAGATAGCGGACAGAATCTTCTTTCTTTAATTTTATTTCATCTTTTCCAACAGGGCGCTTATATTTTGTGGATGGTCTAGATTCGACTCGCTCTAAAGCAATGGCTTTCACTGGCTCGAGCCCCCACTTTTTTGATCCTGGTTCTCGAATAAGGCGTGTGGGATAGTTATTCAGATAATCAATAGCTTCTGGCAAATACCTAACCCATGCTCTTATTAATTTAGGATCGGAAGATATTGATTCAACAGCATACTGGATATTATATAGAATTTTTGAGAGAGTCTTATTGAAACGCTCTACAAGTGCAACTCTTCTGTGACTATATGGGCCGACCACTCGTATTATAACATTATGCTCTTGCATTAGACGGGAAGTCTTGCCCATAAATTCACGACCCCCATCACATTGCAGAAGCTTTGGCCATGTCAATGGATTATTTTGATTTCCATATATTTTCCTAAATGCTTTAGCAACCTCAGAACTTTTCTTCGATCTA